GCACCTCTGCTTCTCTGAGCCCATTCAGTGGGCACACATGTGAGCAAGCACAGGCCACAGAAACAGGGTTGATTACAGAAGGCAGGCAGCCCTGTGCTAATTAGGTTCTGAATTCAGGACCAAAGTGCCGGTTCACATTGTGAGCATCACAGTGTGGTAGAGGAGAGCATCGTGAGGTCCTGGCAGGAGCTGGAGAGGTGGCTCGGCAGTTAAGAACACTGGCTGCTCTTGCAGAGGATCCAGGTTCAACTCCCAGCACCTGTATGGTTGCTAACAGCTGTCTGTAGCTCCACGTCCTGGAGATGCAACAACCTCTTCTGGCCTCCTCAGGCATGGCACACTCCTCGGTGGTACCCAGACGTATATGCAGACAAAGCACCCATACACATAAAATACAAACAAGTCTTACAAAAAAAGAAGAGCTTGGTATAAATGTGTTGGTCTAAGAAGGACAAGAAGCGCAGACGTTAAGAGACAGACGAGATACAGACACGAAAGACTTGAGTCCCAGCTCCACCACTGACTAGCTCTGTGCCCTTAGGCAGTGGCCACACCTATTTGGGCCTTCAGTCTCCCTGTCTGTATGATGGGGACAATCCCAGGCTTCTGTGATGCTCAAATTACTGTCCTGCGTTCCTGTGTCAGGACAGGCCTGTTAGAATACTTCTGCTCTGCTCACGTCTAGTGCTAGCTAATCTTGTGGTGACATCATTGTTTTCCTGTGTACTGACATCACCAGAACACACCACTCAGCCAGCAAAGATTAAAGCAATCTTCCGGAAGGAGAAAGGCCTCAAATCCCTGAGAACGGAGGTAGGGAAGGGAGGGAGGAAGAAACAACTGTACAAAGTCATGAGGCTTAAGGGGGCAGGAGAGGCGGGAGGCGGTATTAGATTGTATCTCCTGGAGAGGAAATGGTGTGTTCCAGTGGAAAGAGGGGAGCATTAGTCAACACTCCCCTGGTCTGCCTCTGCCCAAGAGCCCACTGGGGAAGTGGGCTTGAAGTCTTTCCAGATGAACGAATTAGCTCATAATGAGACAAGGTGTTGGCTGATGGATGGAACTGTACCCACCCACCTCCTCCAGCAGCCTAGGAATTAGCTCACAGCTGGCGAAGCATCCTGTGCTATCCTGGAAACCAGGGAGCATGTTTGAACAGCAGTCATGTATGCAGAGTTGGTCTCATGGCCCACACATCATTTCTTCAGGAAGTCTGGCAACACCTGCAAGGCTTGGCCTTGCTATTACTGGGGCATCTGCCATGTGGGGCTTCCCTGAGCCTGGTGGGATTCTGGGATTGTCTTATTTCTTCTGATTCCCTGGTCCCAAGTCTGAGGATGCCTTTTGGCTTTCTGCTTCACTATGTGCTTACCACTCTAGAAGAATCTAGGTTAGGTGAGACGCCTGCTGCCCAGCATATCAGAGGGCCCTTCCTGAACCCAGGCTCTAGAATACCCCACTATATCAAGAAAGACAGAAGGGCTCTGCTGCCATTCTGCCCACCCAAGAAGCTGCCTCAGGGATGGCACCTGCTGCAAACATCCATTCAACACCTTGCCACCAGCTCAGAATGAAGTTAGCTAAGTGCTCACTAAGTGGGCAGTTGACGGTGGAACTTTCTCCTGGCACCTCCCAGGCCTGTGTGGGTAACACTCCAGGCCAACTCCTACACCCAGTTCTAGAGGAGGGAAGAAACCCTCTGGGCCCCTTCAGATGCCAGGGTCATTTGGTTCCCAAGGAAAGGCGGGGAAGAGCAAAGATGATTCAGGTCACCCAAAAGGTCCAGGACCCACAAATGACAACCTAGTGTGGTGGAGGGGTGATGGGACTGTGAATGTGGGATCAGCCGTATGTTCCATCCCCTCTGTGGCCTTTTTAGTTTGGTCCAGGCTTCCTGTACTTTAGGTACAGTGCTAACAGCCATTACCTTGCTTGACCTCAGATCCCCTCAGTGACCTATACATTTAACAGAGACCTTCCCTTCATTAATACTCGGCAGCCATCATCCTGAAAGGCTTAGGAACTCTTTTCTCGTTCTTTTTAAAACCAAGAGCCCAGTGTTTGCATTTTGCACTGAGCCCAGTCTGCAGATTATGCAAGTTCTGGCTGTACCAACATCTCAGATAAGGATGGAGAGGCACAGGTGGTCTTGAAACCACGGGCCCAGAGCACAGACCTGACAACCGCCTTCCTGCTCTGAACCAGGTAGAAAGAAACTGACCGTGTGCCCAGATCCCAGCTGGCAGCTGCCTATAGCCCCCTCATGGAAGCACCTCGCCTTTCCCATCTCTGGGTTCTCCACATTGTGGTTCCTGTTCTGTTGTTGACTTCCTGGATGAGACCAAGCCTGGAGCCAGAGGATAGTCAGCACTTCCCAGTCTCCATGAAGGCAGCTCCCCGGGGCTGTCGTCTCACTGAGCTCCCCCTCAGGCCTTCTCTGAGTCTGCTCAGAAACAGTAATTAAAACAGGACCACACAGTGAGACTCAAGAGGAGACCCTACAGAGTGCCCCCCAACCACTGCAGAGAAGCATGTAGGAAGAGGAAGGCCTTCCCCCCCAGTATTGTCCCTCTCAGGACCCGGTGCGGAGGGTGCTGCTCACCAGCCTGTCTAAACGGGACTTTCTCCTAAAAGTTCTGCTGGGTGTAACGAGAGCTCCCTTGTCTGGGGAAGGAAACTTTCTAGGGTTCAGCTGGCTCCAGGTGTACTCAGAATCAAGGTTGGCACCTCAGCACCCAAAGCAGACAGCAGGCGCCTAGGAGGGCCCCAGACAGCCACTCCCAAGTTTTCCTACGTGGAGAGATCTGAAGAAGGTGACCGTGAGAATCTGGAGAGGCGGAATATCAAGAGTTGCTGTCTCCCAGCTAACAGTCAGAGCGCATATGGGAAGAGATGGGTAGTTCCAACCAACCCTTTTTACAGAAAGCCAGACTGAGGCGCAGATAGTCTGACAGCCTGCAGCGAGGGGCAGCATCTCTAAAGGTTTTCAAGATATGTGCTGAGCGGCTCCTGAGGGAGCCCTATGGCCCCATAGTGGGTTTAAAATCCCTGAGAGGGGTCAAGGACTCTCACGGTACCATTACCTGTCCAGAGAAGGCAAGAAATGAGACTGGGTTTCCCTGCTATCTGTGGGGTGGAACGTTCTCATACCCTAGTGATGCCCTAGTGAGGGTCAGAGCCTGAAGAGGGTGGTCCCTGGTGCTCTGGTCAGTTCTTCTGCAGCCTAGGCTTGTAGGAGTGGCCCTGAGCAGAAAGCTCTGTTCTCACCTTCCTGAGTATCTCCGTGTCCATCAGAAGGACCATGCCCCCTCCATGGCCCAGCCTGCCAGATTCTCCCACACCTCCCCCATCTTAAATCCTTATCTCTGTCTTCCCAGTTCCTATCATTGCAATAAGGTAGCACCCGAATTCCTGAATTAATTTTTCTTTGATCAGATATATATGTATGTGTATATATATGTATATATATAATTTCTTGTATTGGTTTTATTCATAACCACTAAAGCGCAGAAGCAGTTCCATGCATTTCAACAGGTAGAGAGACCAATTGTATTCCATCCATTCACTAAGAAATGAGGCAGAATGAAATACTGATAAACACAGGCACATCTCAAGTGTGCTACACTAACCGCAAGAAGGCCGAGCTTATGCAGTGTAATGACGGAGCATTCTCGGGAAGAAAACGTGTGGAAATAGAAAACAGATCATCATCGGGGATTAGGAGGGCGGGGATCCTGCCTTTGCAAAGGCAGCATGACTGATTTGCGTCACCATGAAGTCAGGGGTTTTCAAAGACTCACAAAGTCAATAAGCATCTCTTTCGGGGCTGGAGAGATGGCTCAGCGGTTAAGAACATTGCCTGCTCTTCCAAAGGTCCTGAGTTCAATTCCCAGCAACCACATGGTGGCTCACAACCATCTGTAATGAAGCCTGGTGTCCTCTTCTGACCTGCAGACAGAATACTGTATAAATAATAAACAAATAAATAAATTTAAAAAAAATAAGCATCTCTTTCGCCCTCTCCTTTCCCATACAAGGGACAGCATGTGCCACAAGAGACTGAGCCTATAGCTATTCATCTGAACCTTTACTTGGAGGCGGTCTCACCTCGGTTCATTCATGTTCAGAGCTCAACAGAGATATTTCAAACCCAAGTTCAAGTTATGTGCTTTGTACTCCGATCTGTCCTTGTCTAGATCTCCTTAGACACGAGATGCTAAGGCTGGGAAGCTCGGGTCTGTTTCTCACTCAGCTACTCCTCCTTTGGTGTGATAGGCTGAGAGTTTTGGCTTACATCCTTCACTAGAGGTGGTCAGCTCAGAGCACAGTTGGATCCCTTGCAAGGTGGTGCTGCCCTGTGGGCATTCCAGGTAAACGTGAGAACCATCTTTCCAAAAGAGTGAGTCATGAGTCGCCTTCAGTTTCACAACCCAGCTCTGGCCGCCAGCTTCTTTCCTGCCCAGGTTGCCGGTTTATGTGCTTCCTCTAAAGAGGTGAGGTCAGGTGTTGTTGTTGGAGGCGGAAGCTGTGTGTGGATGGAAGGTGGGGCTGGGTGGGTGGGGGTGGCTCAAGGCCAGTAGACACCTGTTCTGAGTCTGGGCAGAATCCCACTTGGCCCGTCAGCTGGCTCTGACGGCCTGTCCAGAGGAGAGACCTGTCCTGAGAGTCGGACCAGCTGGCTTTGTCCCCCTATTTCTTGCTGAGGGATCTGTCTTGGTGAGTCACTTGGCCTCTTGGAGACTAGGGTTCTTCCCCTATGTGTTGGGTGTTAAAATCAAGCCTCTAAACTCCTGCAGGGACTTCCATGGCCTCAGAGAGGTAGCATGGTTTTACAAACAGTAAAGCTCCGCCCGGTTCTATCAATTGCCTTGCATGAAGTCTGTGAAATTGCCTCATTTCTTGCCAAAGAACTGGCAATTAGAAACCCTGTCCCTGGACCTCAGTTTCCCTTCTTGAGGGGGGTGAGACCAGGGCTGATATGATTCTTTTCCTTCCTGCAGGCTCACGTCTTCCCCCACCCCCAAGCGCATTCCCATCACCTCCGACCTGCACACTTCCGGCAAGCATAGCTAGATCTTGGAGGAGGCTGCCCCAGACATTCCTGCTGATGCCTGTCTGATCCTGCCTCTGTGAAGCATGGCCCCCACGGGATTACGGGACAAATCATAGACCCTGAGCCACACCTGCTCGGAGAGGCGCACTTCACAGCCTCGCTTGGCTCCAGCTGCTGTCAAGCCTCGAGACTCACTCCCATCCCCACAATGCCTTCAGGAGCCATGGCCACGACTGTATGAGGTCCTTCCCGAGCAGGACTTGACCTTGCTACCCAGCAAGGCTCTGGCGTGACCTCCACCACCTCCCATGCCTGGCAACCAAGGCAGACTAGAAAATGTCTGTGCCACGGATCCAAGTGGAAGAAGTGGATGAGAAAGACAGACTGGCAGGAGCAGCCGCACCTCCCGATGACCACCTACTCAGCCTGAAGGCCCTCACCGAGAAACTGAGGCTAGAGACCCGAAGACCCTCCTATCTGGAATGGCAGGCCAGGCTAGAGGAGCAGACGTGGCCTTTCCCAAAGTCAGCTGCCCCACAAGAGGCAAGCTTGGAACAGGGAGCCTGTGGAGATGGAGTGCCGTCAGTCCCTCTGAGGGAATCCAGAGAGCTGCTCCCACCTCCCAGGAGTACCAGCCAGGGTGACGGACCTCTGACCACAGGCAAGCTGGAAGGCTTCCGGAGTATCGATGAAGCTATAACCTGGCTCAGAAAGGAACTGGTGAGTGGCTGCCCCACAAGAGGCCTACACGGAAAGTGTGCCATGCTTGTAACCTCTCTCCATTTTTCTGTCTGACTTTGCCTGTGCCCCCACATGATGTTTGTCCTTCCATCTCTGCCTGTTTCCCCTTTGCACATCTGTCTTCCTATTGGGCAAAGGGTAAATCCTTATTTCTCAGTGGATGCGTGTGGCCTGGGTCAGTCGGCCCCTAATCAAAGATATGGAGAAAACAAGTGTACCCCCAAGGATCTGAGTCCACAGTAGGGTGTTCCTACCCTTTTCGCACCAGGATCAGATTCTCCTGCTCTTTATTCCTGGACAGGCAGAGGATTCTCAGAGTTTGCCTGTGCTGACTTCTCTAAGAAACCCATGCACCACAGTTGTCTACAGATTGGGGATCACCACTCACTCAGCAAGCACGCAGCCTCTTCCCCTGGGGTGGGAGTTGACACTAGGTGGCAGGTCCCCCAGGAGGGGTGAGCGACTTTGGGAAGGGCTCTCAGTCTGGGGGGTCATAGTTGTAAGTCCTGGGGCTCAGCATGGGAAGTGCTGTTTGATAATTCAAGGTGTCCAAGAGCTGCCAGAAGGGGACACATGACTGATCATGCTTTGAGCGAAGGCTTTGGCAAAGGATGTTGAGTAAGAGACTGCCCAGAAGTCAGGGTGGGTCAGGCCTTCCAGATGGGACTAGTGAGCAAAGACAGAAGATGCTAAGTGGTACAGCAGCTGGATCCTTTCACTGCCCACAGAGGCCCCCATCGGGAACCATGAGAAACCCGGGAAAGGAAGTGAGACATTTCCCCATGCCGCCCTCGGAAAACCACTAGGTTCCTCCATCATAGCAGCTTCTTAGCAGACCCGGATCCGAAACCAAGCCTTCCCTAAGCTTTACCTGCTTTCCTGAATCCCAGCAGGGCCATCTGACTCCGGGGAGCCCCCAGTCAAGGCCAGCTGCTTTCCAGAGCCGTGGCATCTCTCCAGCCAACAGGAAAGCAGAAGCTGGCCTGACTTGCTTTGCTGAGTCCTGCAAGGCTGAAATTTCTCGTGGGCTGAAATGAAGCACTGGAGCTCAGGGTGGTAGCAGCTCGGGAGGTTGGGCCTCTGATTAATTGGGAGCCTCTCTAGTTGACACTGAGACTGCTCAGAACACCCTCCTCCATTGGGAATGCTGTTAAAGCCGAGCAGGATATGCTTGCTATTGACTTTTGCAGAAGACAGGGCACCTGTGGATTCTTGCGTCGTGTCCACAGGGTGCTCATAGGAGCAAGAAAGATGAAGGGGTGGGCATGCAGGGCCAGAGACAGACCCTGGAGGCTGCACCCTGAATTCCTGAGGCTAACCTGCTTTGATCTGTTTTTCACAGAGGGACAAAAAGAATATTCCCATTAGCCAAAGATGCAATTTGTTGGTTTTGGGTTCATTTGAGAGTTTATTGCTTCTCGGAGCAGTGTTGTTTACTGCCTAAATATGTTCACATTCCTTGTGGGCTTCCCTTTGGAGTGAGGAGTAGAGAAAATATTCCTCTGAGTAAATGGAAAACAGTAGGGGCTTCTTTCAAATTTCCTAGACACCCCCATCGTCCTTTAGATGACAAAGTACCATGGGAGGGGGGCTCAGGAAAGACCCCAAAGCCTCAGCCACACCTCAGACCATTGAAATGAATACCTAGGGTATGATGCTGAACATCTAAAGACTTTAAAGATTGGTTAAAGCAGCACGCAGCCTAGCTGAGAACAGTGTCTGCGATCTATGGGGCATACTTCATGCTCATTGCCAGGACACATCAAAACAAGCATGGCAGGATGCCCCACCCAGAGTGTGCTGGCTAAGTGGAGGAGGCCGGCCATGTTTAGGGTAACTCAGACTGTCGGGTCCCAGGGCAGGGCAGTCATAGTCAGGACTAATTTGGTTGCTGAAGGCGGTCCTGATGTGGGCACAAGAAATATGTGCATTAGTAACTTGCCTTCTATCTGCATAGCATTTTCTGTTCTCCTGGGTGACCAGGGGTGGGTAATGATGGTGATGGTGATGATTGATGTGTCATCGTGCTCCGTGTGTGTCAGGGACTTCACTTGCGTTACTCACCTCTCGTGGTCATGTGACCTCACCTTCCCAAACTCTTTTCTTCAAGAAGACCAAAAAGACTCAGAGAGGAATGCAAGCGGGAATAAGAAAGCTGTCATTTGAAGCCGGGCCCATCAGGTCACGGTGCCAATGCTAGTCTTAGCTGCGGCCACGGAATATGGCATCCTCCTTTGGCAGTCAGTTTTCCTAAAGCTGAGTTCACGGGGATGTCAACAGTCAACAGAATGTGTGGGTTGGAGGCAGAGAGAAAAACCAGTTTGGAAGAAGGTCCAGGGCACTTGCTGTCGGGTGAATTCTCTGAAGCTCCTGGGAGTCAGTGAATATAGCTAGGAAGTGACAAAGCCGGGGCTCAAACTCACTTTTGGAAAATGCAGGAGGGTGTCTAGTGAGCTGGCCTGACTGGGGAGGGCCCAGCTGAACATGCTGGACAAGCCATTTTGTCTCCGAGCTTCAGTGTGCATGCAGAGCCCTCTGAGTCTCTTGTAACGATGAATATTCTGTTCTGTGGGTCGAAGATGGGCATCTGTGATTTGGGATTTCCAATATGGTCCAGGGACACTAAATGCCACATGCCACACCACACCTAGAGTGCCAAGGCATGAAAAGAGGCCCACAGGACTGTGAAAAGACTTCAGAGGGTTGATCCATGAGTCTCCAAGCTTGAGCTTCACACCCGTCCCCCTGCCTTACTGTCCCACAAAGTCAAGTTCAGACATCAAAGGGGTCTTAGTGAAGAACTCCTCGCTAAGCATCCCCACCCAGCCCAACGAATGACGCAGAAACCCCACCTGATTTAAGATGGTCCTCCTGGAGGCCAGCAGCAGCTCTGGGGCTGATCTCAGGACCCCCATGCTCAACTCTGCCCTGTGAGAAATCAGATACCAACAAAGGTAGTTCGTAAGACACTTAGCTAGAAGCGGCTGAACTAGAGATGCTTTCTTCTCTCTGTCTCAGTTAAAACAAAGCTTCATGCTAGTTTTCTAATCTATCCTGCGCTCACCATCAAGGTACCTTTAAAACCTCACAATTTTAAGGCCCCAGTGAGGGTAGCTTGTATTACCTTTATTCCTATGCTATATTTCTTTCAATTCAGAGTCGAGATTTTTCTCTACCCGGGCACCCTGCCTTCTCCCTGCACATCTGTCAGGCTCCTGTGCAAATTTATCCTTTCTCTTGTGTGTCTGAGGAGACAGACTGAGACTCTAATGCCAGTCAGTATTCAGGCTCCCCTCCCCTGCCACACACACACACACACACACACACACACACACACACACACACACACACTGCCGAACACCCACAATAGAAGTTTGTCTGTAGTCCTGGAAATTGAATTTAAAGTCTTTCCTTCCCATGCTAGCCAAGTGCCCTTCCCTGGAACCATATCCCCAGCCCTCCTTCTAGTGTGCTTTTTGTGATAAGGTCTTGCTAAGTTGCATAGGTTGGCCTTAAACGCACTCTGTAGCCCAGGCAGGTCTTGAACTTACAATCCTCATGCCTCAGCTTCAGAAGTAGATGCAATTTTGGGCCTCTGCCACCAGGCCCTGGTTTAGTGGAAATTTTGATCTTAGCAGAGGGCAACCCATAGTGTGCCTCCTGTCTGTCTGGTGATCCTCCCAGGAGCTGTTAAAACAGCCAGGGAGACATTTGTCAATGAGCCCTCATTCAAAGGCAGGCTGTACAGGGCCAGGATGCATTGCCTACCCTCCCCTGTCTCCTCTAGGGCCAGCGAAGAGGGGTTGTAGGATCTGGACAGGTTTCTAAAGCAAAGGAGGTGCTGAAGGCTCCCTCCTGATATTCCTTCCTGGCTTTCACTCCAATATACAGGGTGTTACAGCCAACATCCCTGTTGACCTAGAGTAAGGTAGCTTTTCCTTCAGCTAATGTACCAAGGGTATTGGGACATAGCCACTCAAAGCTCATGAGGCCATCTCTGAAGAAGTGTGATTCCTGAACTACTGGCCTGAGTTCCTTCACTCTGGCCCCCACACAGGCTGAGCCTTGGGCCACATGGAAGCAGTGATGGCAGGAATAGGGCCTACAACTTAAGCTTAGGGACCTCCCTGGTCTCCCATCTGATATTCCTTGTTTCCTCTTGGTCCTATCCTGGGTCTCCATTCATTCAGTTATTTTCAAATTGTAAATAATCGTATGACGTTCAACTAAGGCCTGGCATCTGCTTCAGCTAGATCAAGAGACCATGTTGCCTCCCAAATGTGACAGGCAGGGAAGCCTCTATGCTTGGTGATTCGGGGCCACCTAATACCCCCAGGCTGGGATCTGACCTCACTATTCTCAGGGTCCTAGAAAATAGCCACCATATTCCTTTGCTGATTCTAGATTGTTCTAGTTATAGGAGGTCACAAGCCCCAGGCTATGCCCCTGCAGTGAAGACAGCTTAATGGATGGTCCGGGATGAGGTGGTGGCAGTTCTGGAAGGGTGAAATGCGAAGGTCATGGTCCTGGGTGGAGGGATGTGTCAGCTCCTTCCAGATGAGTGTGTGATTCCATTCGCCCTGGTAGCTCCTTTTGGGCCTGGGGCTGAGCCACCAACAATCATTTGCCTACCTTCTGTCTTACCTCTGTGGTCTTGCTTAGCAGAGCCGTTGGAAGACACTGAGATAAGGAACAGGCCAGGATACTTTCTGCTCTGTCAGTGGCAGACAGAAGTAAAAGCCTAACCTCCCAGGGCCCTGAGGCACTCTGTAGTGAGAACCCGAGAATCCGTAGCACCTACACTGTTAGTTTCCTGCAGGTGTTTGATCCCTGCAGGCAGAAGGTGTTTATAGTTGTTAGGAAACAGAATAAGAAACCTGGCGGGTACTGATCAGGCAGGGCTCGTGTGTCAGAGCTGGAGACCCAGGTTCAGGTGGCACCTGTGGCCTCAGTTTGATCACCAGCCAGAGTTCTCAGTG